CTTTAAACAGGACATTCTCCCATGCAAAATCATTAAAAGCCTATTAACATGAAAAGGAAAACAACTTTGAATGTTAATAAAATACAAATACAATTTGTTGAACTTGTCTTCCCTCTTATTTTTGCCAGACACATTTGTAGAGAGTGGCTGGTATGGCAATAACCATCCCTCCTCATGGGCAGCAATGCAGGGCTGTTTTCTAATGTCATTATAAAAATAATTTGCAGATATCTTCATAAATTAACCTTTGCATCCGTATTCTGAAGAGTGGCTCAGGAAATGTCGGAAGTTTACCTAAAAAAGTACTGCAATTGTTGCATGAAACTATTATTTTTACAGCTGACTTTGCAAATGATCTTTCACTTTTTCACATACATTACAACTGGAAACAAAACAACCGAAAACCAGAACAGGCAACATGATATCTGGGACCTAAATAAGCATTCCTACACTCAGTCAGAAGAAAGCTCATCCTATGAGCTTTAGGTTACACAAACCTGCTATTTTTGTCTGGGTATTAGAAAGGCAATTCCTTTACAGTCTTCTTTTCTACTACTATTTTTGTCCACACATATACCCAATTTTCACATAAGCATCTTAAATCCACCCAACCCCCTATAAACTGAAACTGCCTAAATTCCTTAGATAAACTCACCTAGTCAGGTTAGTGTGTACAAAGGCCTCTGAGAACACAAAGAGGGGCAGTCACAGAGGGCTATCAGATAAAGCATCCTAGCTTCTACTTTATAGCTGCTATACCTCTAACAAACTGCAAACCGTTTCAAGTTACACAACATTAATTGGGTCAGAAAATGAGAAAAAAATAGAGCAGAAATGTAGCAAAATAATATAGTAAAAGGAATTTAAAACTAAAGGGAATGTGTCTGTGGAGTGCATCCCATCCAGCTCCAGCTGCTTTGCTTTGGACTGGGGGGGTACCCCAGTTTTTGCAGGGAGCTCACCTGCAGCCTCAGCTGTCACTGGAGTCAAGCTGAAGCAGCTGAGGGAATCACTGCAGCTGAGTCTTTTGATATTAAAAGTAAAGACTCTCTGCAGGAGGGAAAAAGGGAGTCCTTTACACACCTACAACCTGTTCTTTTTGGGGGGAGGTTGTTGATACTGTGTTTGAAGTCACAAGCACTGTAAAGCTCTGTGTCTAGGGCTCTATGTTACATACTTAAGCTAAAAATACTTTTTAATCAGAGAAGGCAATATAACATCAGTTAGGCAGTGCAAAGGCCAGTCTGGTCGGGTTTTTTTCTTCCCATGAATGCTTACAAATTTGAGTTTGCTTTGAAAACTAAAATGGTACTTCAAAACACAGGAGATTTAAGAATAAAATTCCCATTAGCAGCTGTTAACAAGAATGATCACTGTAAATCCCTCCATATTAAGACAAGAATAAACTCCCCGAATTCAAAGACTCTCTAAGGAAGAAAGAGAAGGTAAAAAGAAAAGCCCCAGAGACTCAGAACCCCCACAGGAGCAGGCTGGGAGCAGGGACCCACTGCCATCTTCAGGGCTCTGTTCCTGCAAGTGGGTCCTGATGCTCCGGCACCTGCCTTGGCTCTTCCCACCTCCCAAGTGACCCTTCCTGTTTCCCAGATGATGGAGCTTCTCCCTGTGGGTGTTTGCTGGGCAGTAAGGGACCAGCTAGGGTACCCAGGCCCCAGGCCCAAGAGATGCATTTTCACCATTTCTGGGGCTTGCCAGGTTACAAACCCAGGTGTGCAATGAACGAACCACCAAGGACATGACTCCTCATCCCTGCTACTGCTGAAGCTGTGCAGCAAAGAATGAAAAATTCATGGAATAAAGTACACTGACACAAAATTGAATTTACTGAGGAAGTGCAGCACTATCACTGGCTGCTTGAGGAATTCATTTGAGTGAGTCCTCAGAGATTGCTGCCACGGTTGTTTCCTATGAAATACAGGGGCACGAGGTGGCACGTTTTTAGGACTTGGTCTCCTGATATGTCACCGTCACCTCCAGAGTTACCAAAACCCAAATGAACATGGTAACTGATGACATGTTTCTGCTGCCAGTCTGCTGTAAATGTGTGAGAAACTGCTCTGGCTCTGACCCAGTTTCATCCCTCTGAGGGATATTGCTCTACCCAGTGAGCAGTGAGATACTGCTTCCACGCCGACCATGGGGTGTGTACACACGCTACGTTGACTCTCACGGCTCAGATGATGCAGGATAATGGCTTGACTCAGGCAGCTGTCTCCCCAGTGTGGCTCAAGCCCCAGACACCTCAGCCTTGCCTTTCCCTGTGAAGCATGGTTGCCGCCTGTCTTTGTGCATCCTCCTCTCTGGTGCAGGGAACCATGCATCCCACAGGATCAGCCAAGCATCTTCCCACTTGCTGGCACAGGCTTTCAGTAAGCAAGAGGCAATTAAAGGAAATTAACTTTTCCTTCAGCAGTGAAAGCAGTGGAGGGCAGTTCTTCTGTTTCCCAGATGTGTGTTGTAATCCTGTAGTGTGAAACAGGGTACTTCTAGCTGTAAAAGGGCCACTGAGTCCAACCTTCATTCTTGGAAAGCAAGCAGCACCAACAGAGCAAGAGATTCTTAACCAGTTCATCACTTATCAAATTGCCCATCCTAATAAAAGCAACCTACTGTATAAATTGAAACACTGATACAGAAACAGTAGCCTAGGCCTCTGACACTCCAGCTGAGTGACCCCAGCCAGCGGGTACAGTCAGCCTGCTCTGGGCTGGGTGTGCTTTTCTGAGACCAGTGCATGTTTTAAACATGGAGACTAGACTACTTTCATCGCACAATGCCATATAACCTACCTGCTTATCACAGTGGTTGTAGAAGATGGATGTATAGCAAATTGTGAGTTATCTCAAGCAGAAGTAAAACACAACCCCAAAACCTGAGCTTGGTGTCTTGCAGCTAAAAGCAGCACCCAGTCATCACTCATTTCAGTTGGAATCAGGCAGTTCAGATCACCATCCCAGCAGATGACTATTCCAGGTTTGTGTCATGTTAGGTTTTTGCCTGCATTGTGAGTCACATCAGCTCAACAGAGCCCAAAGCCAACACCAGCAGTAAGCACGAGGTGGATGTAGGAATGGTGGGGTGTGGAGTACTCCCTCAGTTAGTGAAAGCAATGAGCTGCTAGAAAACTTCAACACGTCATGTAGTTTTAGTCTATTTCCATTTATAGCTTCAAACTTTGATGACTTTGGTGTTACATTAGCCCCTAACTGGTCCCAAAAGGTACTAGGTGGTCTTCTCAGCCATATGAATGAGATGTAACTAAGGATGGAGTTTGAAACAGCACAGGAGGACCTCTCTTAAAAGCACTAACCCCTCTCTAAAATGAAAGTATTTACAAAAGCTTCTCTTCTGGACAACAAAAGGTTGTCCGAGTCAAGGCTGGAGCTATTTCCCTACTGGGGAAGAAATTAATTGCTATGGATTCTGGGGGGGCTGTACAGCCCTGGTGCTGGCAGATGCAGAACCAGGAGCACAGGAGCAGCTGTCCATCCACCATGCTATGGTCCATCCCACCCTATCCATCCCACCCAGTAGCCAACAGACGGTCAACATTAGATGTGCATTAAGCAGAGGTGGCATAATGAATGTGCCATCTAAGGATTCCTCCTAAACTCCAGTTGCTGCCTGCTGTTGCAAACATGATAACATACCTGTTAGCAGTAAGCAGGGGCAGATTTACACCAACAGGCTGAGAGGGCAGTGGCTCTCTAACCACCATCTGTTGGGCACCCATCATGGCTTACAGGATGGAGAAACCAGTGTGCACGGCTGCACCCAGCTTTTCCAGCAGCTCTTACAATCCAGGAAAGTCTTGTTACAAAGCACAAGCTCTTCAAACGTTATTTGTTGCCTGGTTCTGTAGATGTGTATTACATGGAAAAGTATCTCCCTCTCCTCTGGCATGGAATATTCTCTGACTTTCTGTGAATACCCCTATTTTCACGGGTGGGAAACAGGGACAACAGCTGCCCCTGTCCTGCTTTTCTATTCAGCCTTTATACCGCAAAAGGCAAAGAAGCACAGAGCAGAGAGCTTGACTGTGCAGTCAGCTAGCAGGGAGAGGCAGGTAGCAGCAGCTTAATCTAAGTTCATTGTCATGGACTTCTAAAGGTTCTTTAGTGGATCACAAGGGGTGTGCGGATGAGTCCTTCTAGACTATTTATTATTTTGCCTCCTTTTTTTATGTGTCCTTTTTATTTGTCTCATCTCTAAGGGAAACAACTCCAACCTTATCAGTCTCCCTTCATATGAGAGTTTTTCTCTGCTCCAACGTTTGTCACCCTTCCCTGAACCCTTTTTAATTCTTTTGTTATTACTTTGAACAAAGATGGATGGAACAGCAGAAGCAGCAGCAGTTCTCCAGCCACATGACTTGCAAACTACAGAAAATCAAGTCAAGGCTAAGCTGAACTCTGGAGCAGCAATAGCAGGGTCAGTGGAGTAACCTCAGGAATGAGCGTACTCCTCTTCAGTTAAGTTTCTTGCCAAATTCACTTTCCTTAGTATTGTTTAGGCTGTGGAAAGCAACTGTTCCTGACAACAGGTTGTCCATAGTGCGTGCAACTGAAGTCGTGTCAAACATATTTTAGCTGGAAATGTGGATACACACAAGCCATACTAAGCAGTTAAGTAAAATCATGTCTAAACCTGTCTGTACGGCATTGCAACACCTGACCGGAGAAATGATCTGGCCAGCTCAGACTCCTGTTCAGATCACTGCCAAAAAGAAGGGACAAGAAACACACTATAGGGGCCTGCCTTTTGTTCACGTGGCTTTTGTCATCTTGTACTGTCTAACAGGGTTTAGATATTTTTATTCTCCATACAGAGACATTTCCTTGCTTTTATTTTCACTAAATCCTTCATTTTGATGCATCAATCAATACCATAAATTAATAATACAGCACTCAGGATGTGCTGCTTTTCACTTCCATTTCAAATTGCCTTGTTTTGGCATTATGCTCAAGAATAAATAGGAGACCTTGATTTTCTATTACATTTATTGTTTTGTTCATCTTCCACTCCATATTGGCTCTATTCATACATTTACTTTTTTATCTGCTTTCTGAATCAAGCAGCTGTGGTCTCTCTTTATACAGAAGTATTGCCAGGCTTTTAAAGGATGCCTGTTGGTGTGGCAAGAATCTGCTTTGTCCAAGTACTCTGCAACCTAAAGGGAACCTGATGCAATACAACCAACCTCCCGTTAAGTATAACAATGAATTATCTTTGTGTAAGTTCTCAGGCTTTGTGGAGTTTCAATCAGGTGTACAAATTTGGACCAGTGTCTTGAGCAGTGCCATCCTTCCTGCTCCCGTATAGTTTGACCTAATCCCATGGCAGCTGACAGAAGCTCTTCCAGCCCTTCGCAGGTCCTAGGGCTCTTTCATCCATTGGTTTAAGGGAACTGTTGGAAAAAAAGGAAGACGGAAGCCCAATCAGATGAAATGAAATGAGATGAGTGACATAACAGGGCAATGCTGGAACCACCACTGGTCAATCTCATAGCAACACCTTCACACACTAGGCCTGTGAGATTTTCCTTCAGGCAGATGTGTTTGACTTGCCAGTGGCAATAATTGCTTCCTGTATTAAGGATGCATAGTGCAATATGGTGATTTGTATTATGAATATATCTGTACAGTTACAGTTAAAAGTAACCAACAAAAGCCAAACCAGATGTCTAGTGATATGTGTGTTAGTGCTGAGCTCAGACAGGTTTCCACAATCTTGAATTTTCTTGTCCAGAACCAAACAAAAGCCGACAGTAGCCCAGTTTCATGAAAGTGATGCAGGTTTTATGAACCCCTGGATACAGACTACTCTGCAGATGCAACCACAGCCACCATGCAAGTGCTGGCCCCCTCTCTTACTTGCACCAGAGCCCCCACATCCTTCTCCACCATGGGGCTGGGCTGAGCTCAGCTAGAGAGCTGACCTTCTTCTCTATGCAGAGAGCAAAGGGCTACACAGACACTACCTGCCAGTTCCCAGCTGGACTCTGCTGAATAAGAGCATCACAGATCTCTGTCATACCCAGGCAAAGGGATATTCATGAATTCTCACTTTAAATCTCATTCCATTTAAAAAACTGCTGTCCCCTTGAGAGTTTTTTTTTCAGTACTTGCAAACCTGCCAGGTTTTTTAACATATAAATAGGAACATTTAGTAAGAAAACAGGGACATGATTCTAACTCTATCGAAATACATGTGATAGAAAGAGCTTTTAGGAGAAAAAGAATTGAAAAGATTCACTGCTTTTAAAGAATGGTTAAACCCCATCTTTCATTAGAGAAAGACCTAGGAGGAATGGCTTTGATCCCTCAATATTATCAGAGCAAAGGGAGTTAATACCTACTTCTAGAGTAGCAGCATTAGCTTTTGTACAGAATTCTTTAAATGACTTCCAGGGCCATTAAAGTCAATTGTAAAACACCACTGCCTTTACCTAACCAGAATTGCCCCAGCAGATCAGTCCACAAAAGGCTTTAGATGTCGCAATATCAAGTGCTGAAATTATGAACTTCTGCTACTTTCGGCCAGCTTCATCCCACTAACTTTGGGAACCTTAGCCGAGAACAAAAATCTTGCTCAGCCCCTCCGAGGTCAGTGGAGAACTCCAGGCAATAGTTTAGGCTGTTATGTGGGATGAATCCAAGATTTTGGACCCCCCAGAAATAACCTGCCTGGGGGTATGTTCCTAGGTTCCCTGTTGAATAAATGGAGACATATATGGAATAGCATCTGGGAAGGCCATGAAAAGGAATGGGGAGCCCTCTCACTGAGCTGGCACTAAGGGGATGGGGGTAAAAGCCTCTATTCCCTCAGTCCCAGCAAGCTGCTGGTGCAACCTTCTTACTTTTCTTGCTTTCTAGAAGCAGCGAGGACATCCATACAGGTCTGTGGGAGCCTTGGCCACCCTGCTCAAGGCAATTTTAACCTAATCTTGTAGCCAACAGTATCAAACTGGATGGTGCTCTCCCAGTTTCTCCATAGTAAATTGTTCTAGTTTTTATCAAATGCTTATATGTCTGTTGTACTTGCAAGGCAGAAAGCTCCTCTCTAATCTAGTGTTGTGGTTTAAGCCCAGCTGGTAACTCAGCGCTACACAGCTGCTTGCTCACTCCCCAGAATGGGGAGGAGAATCAAAAGAATGCAAACTGTACAGGCCGAGATAAGAGTTTAATAACTAAAATAAAGTAAAATATAGTGATAATAGAAAGAACACCAATAATAATAATAATAATGACAAGAGGAACCAACAAGAGAAGAAAGGAAAGCTCAGAAAACTCAAGTGATGCACAATACAATTGCTCCCCACTCACTGACGGATACCCAGCCCAACCTGAGCAGTGATCTGCCCTTCCCGGTAACTTCCTCTGGTTTATATACTGGGCATGATGTGTTGTGGCATGGAATACCCCTTTGGCTAGTTTGGGTCAGGTGTCCTGTCTCTGCTTCCTTCCGCCTTCTTGTTCCCCTTCTCACTGGCAGAGCATGAAACTGAAAAGTCCTTGATTGGGGTAAGCATTACTTAGCAACAACTAAAAACATCGGTGTGTTGTCAGCATTGTTCTTAGACTAAAGCTGAAACACAGCACTGCACCAGCTACTAGGAAAGAGGAAAATAACTGTTACAGCTGAACCCAGGACATCTAGGCACCTAGAGTATGAGCTGAAGAGGGCTGCATTCTGTTTTCTGCTGTCATGATTATCACTTATTTTACATGAAACATTGACTGGAGAAGAAAAAACTTGATCTGAAAGAAGAAATGATCATGTTTAGTGGATATGGGAAAACACCTAGTTGCCCTAAGTAATGAGACAGGGTTGGTCATGTCCCAAAACTATCTTCCGAGAATTAAGGACTTTACTGGCAGAAACACTGGGGCCTGGAGACTTAAGATCCTGACAGGGTCAGCCAGCACCAGAGACAAGATTTTAAGTATTTAATTATGGATTGATATCCCCATATGCATATATGATGTGCTGGAGATACTGCTGCTTCCAGCTTTCTCTACAATATGAATCTTAAGGGGAAGTCCAACAACCGCAAAGAAAAAGGATACCCTGGACTCCTTTAGTCTGGTTCCTCTCCCACATGTAGATGGAGGCATACATGTAGCACACTGCCATTAATAAGTCAAAATTATATAAACAACTGTCAATTTTGAACAACACAAGGAATGCGTTGACCTGCTGTCTACATACCACTCGCACTGGCATAGCATGATTGCAAAAGAAGATAAATAAATGGGGTTTTACCTAGTGGTCTGAGATCTGTTTTAAAAACATAAATGCCACTAAGAGGCAAGAGTGTGCCACCTCTGGGATTACCACCTAAGGTTGTTTGGAAGACTGAGAAGCGGCTAGATAAAATAATGACGACCAAGGTCATCAGCTGCATTTCATGCATCTTCATGCATTTTTGTACTGGAAAAGAAGTCTTCTATTCATTTACATGTACTGTTTGTTGTTTTTTTTTTTCTGATTACAGAGCATTACAGAATGCTTTTGTGCAATATATTCCCTATTTTATAAAGCTCTCATAGAAACTACACACACACTTAATATGTATATAAACATAATTTATAATAAGATAAATAATTCCTTGACTTCACAGTGGAAATTAAAATCATCTGGCTTTCAATAATGAAGAGGAGAATCAGATACAGGTTAATGAGAAGATTTGTCTGATTAACCTTCTCCACAGTCAATGGCTTCTAATGGTCCATCAGTCATCCATGCCTAAGTAGTGTTGCCAAATGAATTCAATCCATGCCCAAGCATGTATTTATAGAAGCAACCATAGGTCACTAAATAAAACCTGGAACCACCTGTTAGTCAATGAACATCAGGCAAACCATGCCCAGAGCATTCAAACACCTAGAGCTGCACTCTGCATGACCGAATTATTAGACATTACAGTTTCACTGGTATTATATACCCATGTGAGAATTGAATCACATGAGAAAGAAGGGTCACAAGCAACAAGAAATCCCCAGAGATTTTGACTTGTTAATAGACACGATTCTTCACAGCAGTGACTGATAGACAACTGTGCTTAGCAATTGGAAAGTGACATTCCTGTGTGTAAAATTAGTAGTTGGTTTTAATCCAGTTAGCAGCAGTGAGAATGTAGCTGTATTATTAAACCCTCTTGTGCTCTGATGGAACAAGGGCTGGAGTTTGAGAAGCTGAAATAAGAAGGTGAGATGATAGACTTCATTCCCTCTCTTAATACTTTGATTAAATTGTCCCCATAGGACAGTGTGGGGAATTTCCCTTTTCCTCTGCCTTTCCAGCATCTGTTACAAAGACAGATACAAGCCCTTTTTCTGAAGATACCAAGTAAATACCTGAAATGTCATTAACTCTTCTTTAAAAAATAAAAACAAAGCCAAAACCACAATGTGCAGGTGGAACCCAGATGTTGTTCTACAGTGTTATCGGTACCAAAGGTCATTTTGGGAAAAGACTTGTGAAACCATTTAGGATTTTTGTTGCCATGCTTGAGGACATAAATCAGGCACCAGCTGCCAGAAGTTAAGAACTGTCCCTGTGATTCGGTTACTACATAATGTATTCATAGGATCTATTCAACCTCCCTTTGAAACATACGGTGTTGACCACCGTGCAAGAAACAGTAATGGACTCATCAGACTAGTGCTATGAAGACAGGCTGAGAGAGTTGGGCTTGTTCAGCCTGGAGGAGAGAAGGCTCTGGGGAGACATCATCACAGCCTTTCTAAAGGGAGCCTACAAGAAATCTGAAGAGGGACTTTTTACAAGGGCATGTAGGGACAGGACAAGGGCAATGCCTTTAAACTGACAGAGAAGAGATTTAGGTTACATATAAGGAAGAAGTTCATTACTATGAGGGTGGTGAGGCACTGGAACAGGTTACCCAGGGAAGCTGTGGATGCCCCATTCCTGGAAGTGTTCAAGGCCAGGTTGGATGGGGCTTTGAGCAACCTGGTCTAGTGGAAGGTGTCCCTGCATGTGCCAGGGGGGTTTGAACCAGATAAGGCCCTTTCCAACTCCAATCAATCTATGATTCTATGGTTCTATGTTTCTATGATAATTAATAAAGCAAGGACAACAATTCATTGCCAGTAGTTTATTGCCTAACTTGATAGGGTTTTTCTCTTTATGAACTGCCACAGACTAAGGTCCAAACTTTCAAATATGACTATTATTCCAAATTAGTTGTGATTCCCACAATAAAAATCTCTTACATATGAGGGGGTTCATTAAGATAAAAAGTGTAGACTGCATAAGTAGGCTTTTCATTGTTTCAGGTTTCAGTCAGTCTCATATGTTCAAATAAGTATCATAGTACAAATTGAAAACACTGAATAATCCAAATGAATATGCGATGAAAAACTTTTGAAATAAAGAACATAAATGATGCCTTTTGTGCACACTGGTGATGCAAAGTTGCAAGAGATCAAGTGCTTATAAACCCAAACTGTACTGTGTGTTGAATTCCAAGTGCCAGACATTCAAGCCTGGGAGCATTTTTTTTGCCAAATTCTATCTTTTCCACAAGCCTGGCCAAAGGACAGACCCTGCCTCTCACCCTGCATTACTGTGCTGTCTAAAACCAGATTTTGGCTTCGGTGTCAGGGGTACACCCATCACTACTTGGCCCTACCATCTGTACTGAGGGAAGCATCTAGCCAACAACTTGGCTCTTCAGCACCACTTTCTTAATTATGTTTTGCTAATTATGTTATTGACCTTCCTCTGAGGAAGTTCCTCTCTTGTGAGAGCGATATTAACTCAATTAATTTAAAAAACAGAAGGTGTTTCTTCTTTTTTTAACAAAGCAGAGAGCATTCTAAAAATGGCATGGAAAGGAAGGGTACCACAGCACAAATGCCCCTGCTGCCTACATTTGGCCATCTCAGACTAATGGAAATTATTCTCTTTCTCGTTACCAAAAGTATAGATTGTGAGCAGAAATGGGCAAACTATGGGTCCTGGGTTCAGCAGTAGCAGTCATTTTTTCTCCTCCTTAGTAGCTGGTGCAGTGCTGTAGTTTTGACTTTCAGCCTGGGAACAACTCTGATAACACCAATGTTTTTAGTTGTTGCTCAGTAATGTTTACTCCAACCAAGGACTTTCTGAGTCTCATGCTCTGCCAGGGAGGAGGGGAAGTGGGAGGAAGCAGAGACAGGACACCTGACCCAACCTAGCCAAAGAGGTTTTTCCATACCACAGCAAGTCATGCCCACTATATAAACTGGTGGCAGTTACCCAGAAGGGCCAGATCACTGCTCGGTCGGGCTGGGTATTGGTCGGTGGGTGGTGAGCGGTTGTATTCTCTCCCCTTGTTATTTCCTTTATCATTATTATTATTGGTGGCAGCAGCAGTGATTTGTGTTATACCTTAGTTACTGGACTGTTCTTATCTCAACCCATGGGAGTTACATTCTTTTGATTCTCCTCCTCATCCCTCTGGGAGCCGGGGGGGAGGAACAGGGGGGAGTGAGAGAGAGACTGCATGGTTCTGAGTTACAGCTGGGTTTAAACTGTGACACTATCTCTTTGCCATAATAATAAGGAAATAATATGTGCCTAATGTAGATCATTGCTTCACTTACTCTAAACTGCTCTAAACAGGATATTGTTCTTTTACAATATAAAAAGTATTTGATTGATATAAACAACACATAGGACAAATTGCTAGGGGGCAAGTAAAGAATACATTCTGGTAAGCAAAAGGTAAAGTCATAAGGAGACAAGTAAAAACCTTTTGAGAGACAACTGGCTAAAGGAATCAAAAGAAGTAGTCAAACCTTTCTCAAACAGGCAGCCTGTCAGGTAGTCAATGAGGCCCACAGGTCTTCAAGAAAGGAATAGCAAAGTGGACTCTAGCCAGGTAAGAGCATCTCATGGAGATTCCCACTGCATCAGCTTTCCTGGTGACAACAAATAGGAGCAGCTCAAAAGTAGTAGGGGAAGATTAATAAAATAGGTAGGTAGTAACGAATCAGCGTGACCATATGGTATTTACCCAGGATTGTAAAAGCTCTGCTAACTGCAGTGCACAACCCACTACTTAAAGGGTACTAAAGCAATAAAAAAACAGATGTGAACATAGCTTTGGAAAAGAAAGTTAGAAAAGGTCCAGAGACCTACAGATTCATAAATCTGACTTGGGAACACTGACCTGGGAAACTTACAATAAAGCATAGAACTAAGACACAGGGCAAATGAGTACAACTGGGAAAAAATACTATGACTTCTGTAGGGAGAAAATCTTACCTCATAAATCCACCGAGCTCCTTGGAAAAAGTCAGTGAGAGCGCAGATTGCAGTGGTGCTGTCGATGCAGCACACTTGTGTTTCCAACAGGGTTTTGACAAGGTCCCTCCCAGGAGGTTTCTAAATAAATAAATAAAGCTTTTGTGGTCAGAAAGGGTAGGCACAAAAGGTCATTTTTTTTTCAAAAAAGAGAGATTTCCAGAGGAGGCTCAGCAGCATCTGTGAAGTTGTGAGCTCCATTTGCCCATAAATCATCCGAGAAAGGTGAATGGCAGCGTGGCAGGGTTTGTTGATGGTACAAAATAGTTTAGGGCAATATAAACAAAAGCTGACTTCAGTGGGACAGAGACCACTCGCAAAATGACGCACGTGGGAGTCATCTAACCACCAACATCTACAACATAGATCTTAGAGAAATCAAGAGTCACTTGAGGCTCCTTTTGTACTCAGTGGAGAGAAACAGGCACTTTTAAGGCTCGATTCCCCTGCTCTGTCTGGGATACAGACATTAGAATCAGACAAATCACAACCCTGAAGATGCCTCTTTCTGCTGCCTGTCTCAGATGCCATTCATCTACATTTAGTAGGGTGAACACGCTCTGAATATGCAGGCAGTAAAATAGCAGACGAAATTCAATGTCAATAAATGTGAAGTAATGAATACGGAGGGAAACAACCTTAACTAGACATATATAACTTAATGGATTTTAAATTGGCTATTACCTTTCAGGAAAGAGAACTAGGAGTCACTGCTGGTAGGTCTGTGGGAAGCTCTCAGTTCACTGTTAACACCAGCCAGAAAGACTCACAGCTTTGTCAAGTGTCAGTGATCTGGAGACTCTGAGCCCGTAATAACACAGGTACAATTTAGGACAGGTCAGAGAGGATTTTTATTAACTGTGATTGGAGGGAGAGACCATTTGGACGGCATTACCCCCTCTGCTCCCCAGTGCTCTGCCAAGTGACTGCAGAGACCTAGCCTATAGACTGTGCCAGTATATAGGAACGGGATAAAAGCCAAACCAGAAATGAAATGATGGCATTGTACAGATGGTGTGAATTTACCCATCTTATGGTGACAGTTCAGGTTCTATAATGTGAAAAATCACTGTAGAAATGATACAGGTGTAGGAGAAAGACAAAGGGGGTGGTCCAGAGGTTGAGACACCTTCTGTATGGAGAAAAACTACATCAGCAGGATTCATTATTTGGAAAAGAGACATTTAGGTCAATAAAATCAGAATTGATGTGGAAAAGATGCTTACTTATTCACTCTTTGTTGTAATTCTACCAACATAAATGGAAGGAAGAAAATTCTCAGAATGGGCTTGTCATCACAGGCACATTGACAACAGCATATTCTGAACCTAAGCTAGCAAAAGCCCTGATACACTGAAGTGCACTGCAGCCGGCTCCCAGGGGGTGGTGTGTGGGAAGGAACAGCAGAAGGAAGATGTTTAGGGGAAACCATAGATGAGAGGACAAACAAAAAGCTAACAGAAGGCCCATCAGACCCCGTGCAGCTGGAGAGCAGGGGACTGCCGAGAAAGGCTGTACAGAGTGCAGGGTTCGGAGAGCTGGGAGAAACATAGAGCTTGGAAAAACCCTGTGCATAATGAAAGATAAGGCAAACAAACATGTGGTTTCTCAATCTACTGACAGCATAGAGTCTAAGTAGACAGACGTGCGGGGCTGTTGACTGTGAATCCCAGGGAAGCCTGTTCCCTAGCTGTAGGTAGATTATCCAGCACTGCATTTAGCACAAGGCCAGTGAGTAATCACCTGGGGCATCACTTAGGGTACAAAGTTTAAAAGGGTCCTAATAATGCACAATGAAACAGAAAACTGACAGAGTGCAGGAAACACTGAAACTCCTGTACATCAGAACTGTGATTCTTCTACAGCAAGCAACCTCAGAAAAGGTCTAAAAACCTGAATTATACCTGATATTTTGCATACATTGTATAAATACATATCATTTTTGAGAGTCTGAATATAGGCATTTGGGAAGATGTCTAAGCTACTGATCAAAGATCAATTTTTAAGAACTGACAAAGCTTCAAATCTGGCAACGTGCAACAAAAAATTGTGAATTAGCAGTTTCTGTGTTGAAGGTCTTCCAAACACAGAGGAGACTGAAAAATGGCAGGAGAAAAACTAAAAAGAAGTACAAATCTTCTCCCATGTCCTTCACAATGGGTGAAGCACTATGCAGGAAAGAACAGCTCTATGCAGGAAAGAAAGCAGATGTGTTTCCAGCTGTGGCATCCACTTAGAAAAGTATCAGATTATATTCTGTGCTGCTTGAAAGAAACTAAAAGAGCCAACTCAGTATCCAACAGACCTGTACTAATGGAGGATTGGACGGAGTATTTAACCCACAATCTTTGCAAAGCTTGGAGAAATGCACTTCTTGCTGGAAAGAGGCACAACCTTGATTTTCCTTATGGATCCTGTAGTACTTGTTCCCAGAGCAGGAGCAATAACAGGCTGGGCAAGGGGACGGTGGTGGTGGGACAGCAGCAGTGGTGGCACTGTCTATGGTGGCTCTGCTTCCCCACAGGTCCCACCGCACCACGACTGACATTGAAACGTTCAGCACATAGGCAGGAATTTGCCTGGCCCCTCCATTCACAGAGCATGAAGTCTCTGCATCTTTCTTTTTTATTGTTTTCTTTAGCCTCTCCCTTGTTCAAAGGCTCATGCTGGATGATCTAAACCCTTGTGGTTAACAGCTTATTTAATGAAATATTGATATTTTCTTTTTCCCTCATGCTTTAGGAATTGGTCTTTGAGCACTTTGATGAAGTACCGTAGTTTCCTCGAACTCTTTTCAAGGTCTAACTGAAAGCCTAAATCCTAAACTGAATGTTTCCTATTAAATTATATCCACATTTCCTACAAGTCCTATAAAAATAAAGTATGATCTTGGTGGATCTCCGATGAAGGAGAACACCACAACTTTTCCAGTTTCTCCAGCGGTAGAGGTCCATCTACAGCCACACATGGAAAAATAGATGAGTGTGGTTTTGAGAGGAAATTACCCTCACCAAAAACCAGAGGAGTGAAGCAATGAACTCTGTAACAGTCACTTGGTAACTAAAATTAAACAAAGTGGAAACAAGATGATGTGCTTATCTTGAAGAAAAAGAAGAGTAGCATGTATAATTTGGATAGTATAAAATAAATGCAATTAGAGAATATATAAAAGGAATGTGTACATTACTTCTGATTACTGATTTATAAATTCAGTGCTAGAGATGAAGATGCACTAGGAACTAACGTACACCCAATTTGATTAATATCTTAAAAAAATTGGAAACAGAAGGCTATCAGTAATTTAAAATCATAAACAAAAATAAGAGCATCTGTAGGGTTCTGAAACAGATTTTAACTGAATGTAACCTGATGTTATAATAAAAACATCTCTAGAGAAAATTTTTCAAAATACCCATGGTATTTCCCATTAGTATTCATCACAATGTAGTCTGAATGGAATCATAGTAAAGAGTAACAGTACAGAGGAGGTGTAACTCCAAACTGATAAATTCTGCAATAAGGTACCATAATCTGAAATACTGCCTATACAAAGCACATTTTAAATATTTTTCAGTTTCCTTCACGGGTAAGTTTCAGATTTAATGATTCACATGAAAATTTATTTTGAATCTGATTCTACTTTTTTTCCTCATATGAGTTCCCTGGGATGAATAGGAAAAAAAATAGTTTTTTTCCTGAAAACTTCTGGAACTTTTCTGTACCAGATGAATTCTTTCTATGGAGCATCAAAGAGACTGAATATATGCTGGAAGCCTTTCTGAACCAGGATTTTCACTTTGCCCAGTGGAAAGCATCTGGCTGCATAGCAGTTTTAACCAGCTTTAAAATTTCTATCACCCAAGTACGAATAAATGGGCTCTTAGTTAGAAGAGTTTGTGATACTCAGCCATCTTTAAACTTTGTTTAAATTGAGATAAACATGGGTTCAGTGCACATAACTGAGGTAATATAAAAGTGTAGCCTACACACTAATGCCAACTTGAATCAGCTGAGGATCTAGTCAGAAATATTGTCCAGAGCACCCACAGAAACCTTGCACAGATTGCCTGTCTGCATATTTTCAGTATGCTCTGTAAGAGATTATGCTGGAGAAAGTCATAGGTAAATGCTGTTATCTCCTGTGTGTTATCTGCACGGGCAAACAAATGCTTTATGTTTTTTCTCTTTTAAACTTTACGTAATTAAGGCTTGCTGCCATTAGCAGAGAAGTCTGCGTAGGTAAGAGGTAAAGTATTTGTTAAATACCTTCAGGTTACTCCTTTTTTTGTGATGTGAAAATAGGAAAAGAACTACCCATCCATGTCATGTGCTGCAGCAATGAAGCTGCCAGAAAACAAAAGGCTTTATTTGTGGAAGAGAAAACACAAGTGTTGATTTACTTCACTACAATACATAGAAAAACAAGTTAAACAGTGGATAACTCTTTAAATTGGAAATTCAGAGCCATATCTGAGGAAGTTCCCCACTGGTTCTCTCCATTTGCAAATTACAAACGTGTGTCTGACAGTCAAGACTTCTGCTCAAACTCAAAACTAAGAAACAAATTAGATAGACATAAAATACAATAGACTTCAGGAAACATCTCAAGGTCTTCCAAAACTTAGACTAAAACTAAACGTCACCAAGGAAAGAATCAATAGCTTTGCCTTGTTTTTCTTTCCTTTTTTAATCTCAATCACTATTATTAGTCACCATAAGGAAAAGACAAGGCATTTTCCTTCCCTAGCTAGGTTTAGAATAACGTCTTTGGCTGGTGGGTTTTGTGCGAGAGAGGATGAGAGGCAGGGGAAGGTGTTTGTTTTGTAAGTACATCACATGCAGGTCTGAGCTGAATGACTAGAAGAGTCATCCCCAGAGTAAGTCATCCTCTGAGAGTTAATTAGTAGACCTGGCTTGCTAACAAAAGGGTAAAATGCACCTTGACCAGCTCCATAATAAAAAAAAAAATGGAAAGGAAGGTGGTATTGTGATATTGTGATATCGAATCATGAAGCCTCAAACATCCTTGCAGTGAGTTGTAAGGGGTGGTGGTCTGTGACATGCTTGTCACCCCAGTCATCTCTGTGCTGAAACTCTACCCTCATGGCAAGGAATTTTCTGGCACTGATTTGTATGACTATTGCTCCCAAGGTCACTAAAGCCAAGGCAAAAATGCCCCAAATCCCACTGACTGCACAAAGGGTCATCATGTGCTCTGCAAGAGCCCCATTGCACAGGAAGAGTTGTGCCCTCATGATGGCACAGCAAAGCTGCTGCTACCTGCTCTATGTCGCATGCAGAGGCAAAGTATGGTGGCACAACAGGCACAAACACAGGTCTTGAGGACACAAGATAGCCAGGATGTTGAGCAGGGCACCGTTCTAGTAGGATGCGCACAGCAAATGCCAGCACAGGCTTTGTTCTGGGGCTAAATACCCAGCGTTTCTCTCCTGCCTCTCCCTAACAATCTCCAATTCCTCTCCAAAGCCTCCCACCTGCATTCCTGAGCTGCAGGGGTGACCTCCATGGGGCATTTGCCTTGACATGGGATGTGGGGAGCCCTCTGCACACATAAAACTTCAGAGACCTTGGCGAAGGCCATTCCTTCACCTTTCTCCCACTCCCATTTCCAAATGCAGCATTAGAGTCCCTCCTGTCTTCCCAGCTGATGAAATATAGCTGTTGTAAAATGCTCGCTAACCACATTTAGCAAATGGAGATAATCAAATAAAAATTAAACTATACTTACTAAAGAAATGCAGTTTCCAAAACACAGACTTTGGCTAGAGACTGTGTTTTGC